AAGCTACACAGAGAAACCCTGTCTCAAAAAACCAAAAAAAAGAGAGAGAGAGAGAGAGAGAGAGAGAGAGAGAGAGAGAGAGAGAGAGAGAGAGAAGAGCAAATAAAGGGTTAGATTCGACTAGCAATGGTTTTGTAACAGAAGACAGGACTATCTGAGCATCTTCACCTTCTAGTCAGTTCCTTTTAGGGTATTTGGGAATGCGGGTGAGCATCACACACTAAAAGAGTGGCACACAACGCTGTACAAATTTCCACTGAATGTCCAAAGTCAGTAGATTAGAGCACTACAGTAGGAGTGAGGAGGATTTAACCTAGTCACTGTCAATTACAAGTCTCAATACCTTCTTATAGCCTTAGTGAATGTGTAAAAGAACAAAAAACCCAGCTATTTCAGATCAAGACTCCAAAACTTTAGTAGAACGTGGACCGCCAAATACAGCTGAATCCTATTTCCAAAGATAAGAAGGCAGAGCTCTTCAGTGAGTGCCTCCAGCAATCTTAGCGGGAGCAGGACACAATGTAGTCACCAGGGCAGTCCGGAGAGCTCTCTACCCCACCCCAGCCCCAGATCCGAAGCTTCCACACGTCTCAAACCACCCGGTTCAATCGATGGTATCTTAAGGTCCTTCCTTACTGGGTGAACAGTGCCAAGGTAAAAGCTGGGGAAACTGGGATTCACACGCTTGTAACTGCAGGGCGGGGCAGAGGCATTTGTCTGGATTGGGGCATTTGTCTCGACTGTGCCATTTACAAATAACTTGCCACTGCCCAGCGCCAGTCTAAGGGGCAGAAGGGCAAGAGCCAGCTTAGAAGGCCATACCCCCACCCCCATGCACACATGCCTCAACTCTCCTCCTGGCCTTTCCCCTTTCCTTGGAGTTGCCTGTCCCTTTGGGCCTTCTAAGGTGGGACCCCAGGATCCCGCTCTGTGTGCTGAAAAGACTTCAATGCAAGAAACAAAGACGCTGTGAAGTGGGCTTTGAGATGGGATTCCACCCCAAAGTGCTACCCGGCTGTGCTGCACCAGCTAGCCTCATCTTTCCCCTCCCCCCTCCCCCCTTCCCCCTCCCCTGTTCACTTCAAGGCGCCAGTTAGATGAAGAGCTAAGTCTACCTCTAGGTTGCAGGCCAGATTGGTGCTGCACAGCACAGTTTCTCATTTATAAGCTCCATAGCAAGGCCCGGCCCGCCCCGGGCCCCACCTATCACTCTGTAATTGGATAGATGACCATAACATCATACCCCAGAGTCACACACACACCTCTCTGATTGGATGGCAGCCCTGGCTTGCATCACCCCCTCCCCAGCTTTTAACTTCGTGGGTGCTGGAGTTTGTTCAATTTTAGGACCTCTGTGCTTATAAATGTAAGTATTTAGACTGTATGTAGCTGGAAGTTTTCCTGTGTCCTGCCTGTTCTGCAGTCACTGGGACAAGTAAACACACAGAGGCTTATATTACTTACAAACTGTATGGCTGATTGGCTCAGGATTCTCACTAGCTGGCTCCTATAACTTAACCCATTTCTACTAATCTATAAGTTGCTACGTGGTCATGGCTTACTAGTACTTTCACATTGTGCTTCTCCTGGTGAAGGCTGGCGTCACTCCTACCTCTCCTTTCTTCTTTCCCTGTATCTCTTGGATCTTTCCACCTGGCTCCACCGTGCCTTGCCATAGGCTATTGCAGCTTTATTTATCAACCAGTCAGAGCAACACATATTCACAGCATACAGAAAGACAGACATCCCACAGCACTTCTCCTCTTCTGTCTAATAAAAAAGGAAGGTTTTTAACTTTAACCTAGTAAAATTACATATAATAGAACAAACAAGAATTACAGTTACAGTATCTAGTCTATTCGTATTTGGTAAAATTAAAGAAAATACTCTATCATGTATTCTATATTTGTGAGTCTAAGGTTTCATAACTAATTTATCTTTTATTATAACCAAGGAAAATTATAACTATTTAGTCTTCAACTACATCAGAGACCCCAGAAGGATATAATATTACCTAAGTAAACAGGAAGAGCATTATAAGCAACTTCCAAAATTCTGGAAATGACAAAGAAAGCTGCTTTCCTAGACTGTCATCCAAAGTTCCTCTGCAACATTGGGGCATCCATCTTCAGCCCATAGGCCTAGTCTCTTAGTCACTTTTTCCTGTGTCCTGTAAAGTGTCTGGCAGTCTTCTCTGTGAAGCAAGGACCTGAAGGACCATTTTACCTTGTTTTGGCAAATTCAGTGGTCATTTTCCTATGGGTCCTGTATGTTCAGTTCATACAACATATTATCAGCAGTCCAGGCAAGAGCAGTTTCTTGCCCAAATGGCTATTTTTGCCAAAAAGAAGATAAACTCCATATAGAGTGTCTTTGATGACAATCTTTCTCTTTGAAGTAAATTGGTGCTGCCAGGAGCAGACATAGCTCACTGTCCAGAAAGGTCTAAGTTTTTAAAACGTTTTAAATGCTATATTCTGTAGGTGTTTGAAGTGTTTGAAGATTACCTACCTAATTGAAATATATCTATGTATATCTAGAAAGCTTAGCCTAACATGACTATAAGTTTGACTATAATAGAAGATTAATTATTAATCAGTATTTCTTAATTATCCATTACAATTTAAATGAGATACATAAACATAATACCTTAAACAAGAGTAGAAATATATACAGAGTATAACAAAATTAACTATAAATTTGTAATGAACTAAAATCTATAGCAATGTAAAACATTTTAAACAAATTGTTGCTCTTTAAAAGTAGGTTCAATAATCTACCCTTTTATCCTATCATATCTATATTATCCCTTTTTCTTTTTTAGAAAGAGATTGTGTTTATAATCAACCCCCTTTAAATAAAAATAAACATTTATGAACAATATTTTAGGAATTTGGGCATAGCTTCTCACACTACTTCCTACTGGATGGGGGTGCTGACAATCTTATGGGGATCCTGAGAAAATTAAGAATTATGGTCAATTTCTGACTGGAATAGTCTGTGAGGCTGCATTGTCTGATCCAGTTGCCTTGAAGCTGTTCTGGATGTTGGATCATATGGGCCATGGTGTCATTGGAGACCTTTCAGGGGGTCTTGGTTGATCAAACCAAAGGAGCCTGGAAGCAATCCATAGGTTCTCATCTTCTGTGGAAACAAAAGCAGAACCTCTTTTCCAAAGCAGTGTATCCTTAGACATAAATTTTGAAGTCAAGATAACTTTAAAATATACATATTGGTTTAACTCAGCAGCCTTTATAATCAAATGTCTCTCTCCAGTTAAAAATCCCAAAGACAACACAATCTAGACTCTCTGAGTAATTTCCATCTTTATGTGACTTATTTTTATATTACTTTTACTGTCTCTCTAAAGACTTTATTTTTTGAAACTATTTCTTTATATAACTGCATATATTCCTTTTCCTCTCTCTTCCAAGCCTATGTACATTTTTACATATAATATAAACCACTTAGGGTTTTATTCCATCTGAATCTGACTTATTGTGAATCTTTAATCCTTCTCTGACCAGGAGAGATTTTAAACTGCTAAACTATGTGTTTAGGACTGAAGTGGCAGCCTTGGCTGCTGACTCTGCCCATTTCAGCTTTTCAACATGGTGGAGGTAATTCACCTCCAGCTCTGGGAGCCATGCTCTCCATTGACTCTGGGAGGGTGTGGGTCTATGACTCCATCCAGCAGTATATAGCCCAGAAACCATTTTTTTTATTTGTAGTAGTAAAAGCTAAATCCACAACGCAGCGCAGCATATTGCATGGCTTGAAGACGCCTCTGTGCACCATGGCAGGAATCTGCCATGCTGCAGGTCAAGCCCGCACCCTGTGAACCTACCGTAGTGTAGCTCAAGCCAGCAGGCTGTGGCTGGCCTGAGAGACACATTAGGAAGCCGTTTTTAGCTCTGTTTTAGAATCATTTTTAAGTTCTCTCAAGCTTTAGGGGGAAAATCAAGCTAACACATTGGGCAGCCAAATGTAGCCATAAGTTTTTCTGTGTCCTGCCTGGCCCCACATGATCCAGAAAAATCTCTCTCACCTGCAGTCCTGCAGCTGCTTATAAAATAATCATTCAGAGGCTTAATATTAATTGTAAATTATATGGCCTGTGGCTCAAGCTTCTTGTTAGCTATCTCTTATATCTTAAATTAACCTATTTCTATTAATCTATTAGTTGCCATGTGTTCTGTGGCTTACCAGTCTCCTGGCATGTTGTTCCTCTAACAGCAGCTGGCATGTCTCCCCACCTTCTTCCTGTTTCTCTGCTTGAATTTCCGACCTGCCTCTAAGCTGCCTTGCCATAGGCCAAATGGCTTTATTTGTCAACCAATCAGAGCAACATGTATTCACAGCATTCAGAAAGATATCCCACAACAACTGCATTTGATAATAAAAACAAAGTCTTTATGATAGTCTCCATCTCCTTGTATAATAGTTGGAAATAATTACCATCTAAAA